TTGAATCTGTTTCAGTGGGGTTTCTTTCTGCTTGCTTCCCACAGAATTCAGGAAAGGCAAAATCTAGCCCTTAATGATTTGGCTGAGTTCATATGCTGGTGTTTCTCACTTCTTGATTTTTATTGTTGTGCAGGAGCTAAAGCCTTCAGGTATATACAGTCTCAGCTAGTTCTTCAATTACTGCCTTGAAAGTAGAGGTGGGAGATAACTTACAACCCATCCTGGCTAAAGCAGGTCTCTAGAACCTCTGTGAAGTTTTACCATTTAAAATTTTCTTCTGTCTGCTTTTGAAATTCCATTCTATAGTTTTTTGAGGACTTGAAGAGGTCTTTTAGTTGAGTAGGAACATCTCTGCTGCTAGATTCCCGTAAGATTTCAGTATTGCCATACTGAGTTCTGCATCATCAATTAGGTGTGTAGACCCAGGAACTGAAGTCAGAAGGCTGAGGTAGCTGCCCAGTTTTCCTAGTTATTAACTTGGAGAAAAGCAGCTAGATTGGAATTCAAAACACAGTGTGTCATAGAGCTGGAAAACCAATGGAAAACTAGTAAGAAACACCCAAGAATTGGGTCTGAAATCCTACTTTCTTTCCAGAAGTAGGCATAACCGTGCAGCCTTTCTCACTTGTTCCTTCACCATCCATGTAGATTTTGCATTTCTGACTATTTAACAACATGGTGTAAAAATTATCTCGAAGCTACGTAAGAATGATGGCAAAGGCACTGTCAGGATATGAAATACTATGAATTCAAGCTCTAAGGTTCACAGAGGACTAAAATATATTCATTTATGTGTGGGTTAATTTTGAGTCTGTTAGTAAGAGGATTCCTTCCTTGTGCAGGTGGAGTGTGCTTCTCAGGTTGTGCTCCGTTAGGGAGATGACTACTGGGAAGCTTTGCTTTGAGACTCCATAAAGAGTTTCAGCAGCAAACTGAGCAGCTTGATTAAGCTTGTGCTTACAGGCAACCACAATAGCAACAGCTCAGATGCCTACCTAAGTTACAAAATCAGATGTGAAGAATCCAAGACATTGCATAGATTGCTTTAGTAGTATTAGGAAATTAAATACTGCCTGAAGTGCAATTTAGACTTTAGTCCTTTTTTTTTTATTTGGGGCTTTACTTCCCAATCTGTAAATTTGGAGTAATTTGTAACTTTCTTGTTTCACAAGTGAACTATAAACATAGGTATATTACAAATTATGAGGCACCTAGATACTGCAAGGATGGTGACTGTATAGTTTAGTCACATTATCAACCTATTTCCATCTGCTTTCTCATCAGGAGCAGTGTAGTGCACCATTTGTTTGCTTGCAGTTGGATATCATCCTTCCTCCAGAGCTGAATGAATGCCCAGGCGTCTGTACTGGACCAGCTGCATTGGCAACAAAAAATAGACAGTGCTTCTGAAAAGATTAAATTTAAAATGATCTAAAAGGAGTTTATTTTGAAGGTGAAAAAAATGAAAAAAAATTAGCTGAGTTCCATCAGTGAGGAGATATTAAATTGCTCTGTTGTGACTAACAGCTGCAACACCAACTCCTGCTGTCTTGTATTAGTGCTGATGGACAGTCTAGTGAGGAAGTAAATAGTGGGCTGTGGATTAATATAGAACAAATCTGGTGAGCAGCATCAACTTCTGTATTTACTGTATTTAAGCTTACTGTAGTGGTACAAAACATGTTGTAGGTGGTACAAAATATGTTGTACAAAGTATGTTGTCACACGGTTATAATATTTAATGTGCAGTAAGGTCAAGACTGACACCTTCTCTGATTATATTTTTTTAATTCTGAACAGACACTGATGTTTTTCATGAAATAGCACATGACCCTAGTGGAATTTAGCCAAATCTTCTTTTATCTGCAGCTTACTTTTTGTCCTTGAATTGGCCAACATTGACTGTATTGGCTGTTGGAGCCTTCTATGTTAGGACAAAGATTTCATCTGCATCCAAGATTCTTCATTAGGAAAAAAACAAAAACCTCAATTCTTTTCATGTCTTCAGTATTTCTGTTATAACAGATTAAAGTTAACAGTTCAGTCATGTGTGAAAGATACTTAAAAGATACAGCCTTTCAGTATATCTTTTCTTTTGTTGTTTTTATGGTTTTTTTTTTTAACAGTGGGAGGGAATATTCTCTCTTGGCAACATATTTTAAAAGTACTGTGGCTTTTGTCATGCTCCTGCAAAATCATGACTTTAATGGAAATAATTCCTAGGCAAATCTCAGTAGCAGCCAGCAATTTTTTTGTGAAAATAAAATTTGGAGCTAATTAAGTAACATGTACAGAAAATTACGAAAAATAATAAAAGATGCAATGATCTGCAAATGTTAGGAGGGAGAAGACTGGAGATTTTGAACAGGCGATGTGAAAGGCAAGTGTGTATGCTTGGTGACTGGCAGAAACCACTGGTAGGGTTACTACTTAACATGTCCAGAAAATAGAATAGCTTGATGACGTCCAAAGTCAGAGATACAAGTCATGGACCTGAGATGAAAATGCCCTCATAAGCATGACATAATCCTTTGTGTAATGACAGATGGTATTTTCAGGTTCAGTCTGAACCAGACCAAGAATGTGCTAGGCTGGATGGATGCCCTAAAAAGTGGAAACTGAGCAGGTCTGACCAACCTACTGACCAAGAGATGGGTGGCACAGTTGTAACAACAAAATGAAGGTCACAGAGTTGTTGAGTTTGGAAAGGATGTCTGGATGTTGCCAACTCCCTTACTTAAGCAGGGCCACCTAAAGCCAGTTTCCCAGGATCATATCCAGACTTTTTTAAATGAGAGAGACTCCACAACCTCCCTGAGCCACTTCTTCCTGTGTGTGGTCACTCTCACAGTAAAAAAGTGTTCCCTGAAGCGCAGAGGGAACCTATTCTTTTTCAGCTTGTGTATTGCCTCATATTCTGTCCTTGAGCACTGCTGAAAGCAGCCTGGCTCTGTCCCCTTTTTTGCACCTTCCTTCCAGGTAATTATATACACTAATAAGATCCCCCCTCAGCTGTCTTTTCTCTAGGCTGAATAGTCCCAACTCTTTCAATATTTTCATCAACGACCTGGATGAGGGAACAGAGTGTGCCCTCAGCAAGTTTGCTGATGACACTAAACTGGGAGGAGTGGCTGACACACCAGAAGGCTGCGCTGCCATTCAACGAGACCTAGACAGGCTGGAGAGTTGGGTGGAAAGAAACTTGATGAAATTCAACAAGGGCAAGTGTAGAGTCTTGCATCTGGGGAAGAACAACCCCATGTACTAGTACAGGTTGGGGGCTGACCTGCTGGAGAGCAGTGTAGGTGAAAGGGACCTGGGGGTCCTGGTGGACAGGAGGATGACCATGAGCCAGCAATGTGCCCTTGTGGCCAAGAAGGCCAATGGCATCCTGGGATGCATTAGAAAGGGTGTGATCAGTAGGTCAAGGGAGGTTCTCCTCCCCCTCTATTCTGCCTTGGTGAGGCCACGTCTAGAATGTCCAGTTCTGGGCCCCTCAGTTCAAGGACAAAGAATTGCTTGAAAAAGTCCAGCACAGAGCCACAAAGATGATGAAGAGAGACTTATTAACAGTGGCTACTGGTGGGCAAATCTGTTGACATTCTGTGATGAGACAGTAGATTTGTTGTCACAAGAAATATAGTAATCTTGTTCACTGTGACCTCTCATAAAGATATTGTGTCACATGAGAATTGACTTGATTTGTATTTGATTGCTTTGGAGAAAATTAAAATTAGTAGGTTTGTTGAAGGAGCAAAGAGCTGGTAAATGGAAGATGATGCCAGTGACTAGTGAAGGAAGCTGCTGGGAAAGTACAGGCAGAGTTGTTCCACAACCAGATTTGGGACTGATCTTAATATTTAATGCATGACCTTGATACACCAAGTAGAAATAGATCATGATATCTTTCTCCTCATACCAATTAGTGGATACAGGAACCTAGATGTTGTTTAGAAGAATAATAACACTGAAGACTACATTAATGAAAATGAGATTAAATTTTAATAGTGAAGACCAAAAGATTTAGGAAATAGTAAACAAATTATGTTATGAGTTGTGAGCTGATCGCCTGGACAACATAGCTGCAGAGGAGAATCTGGGTATTGCAGCTGATTCCATGTTGACTGTGAACCATCACCTTGCAGCTGTGAAAAGGAAAATGCAATCCTAAAATTTCTCAGCTTATTTGTCCTGGTAAAATGAATGTTGAAAAAAGATGTTCCTGTTTTCTGTCTGTGCCTGCTGGGTCCAAACACCAGGGAAGAAGCAGTTGTGTTAAACAGAATTTCAATACAAGAACAAACAAGTATAAACTGACCTTGGATAACCTGAGGCAAATAATTTAAAATGCCATCTACTATTAGAGCTTCCCAGTACGAATGTCTCTTCTGGATGGAGTGGATCAGTTTATGAAGGAGATTGTAAGGAGCAGTTTCCTAGGTTAGAAATGGAGGAGGACCTGCTTGGGTGCATGTTCGACTTGCACTACGCAACAAACAAAGAACTGGCTAGTGTTTTGTCCACAAAATACTGCTTTTTCACCAAGTTATGATGGGTTACCTTTGGTATCCCATGTGCCTCTTCAGCCAGCTCAGCAGCTCTCTCAGCAAGCGTTTTGAAAACAGATGTGCAGGAGAGAACTGAAATCTTCCTCCAACTGAAAAGGAGCTATCAGAGTGAACTTTGGTTAGAAGTAAGGAGCAATTCTGGCTGGTCACCACAAGGTAACTTAGCTAACCTATCAAGGAGCAGCAGTGTGGAAAACTGCATCTGAATCATTTTGACACAGTTGAAATGTGTAGTGCATAACTGATCATTGTAGCATATCGTTAATTGCTTTTGTCTCTGCACTGTGCAAGCCAGAACGAGGTAAACAAAAAGTTCACAAGAAGCAAATAGAACTACAAATATCATAATACTTGAAGAATAAGAACTATGGTGATATCTTTATACAGAATGGAAATATTTGTAAAATATTGTTTTATTTGTTATAAACACAGAGTTCCTTAAAGGAAGTTCTTAAACAACTACAAGAAGAGAAGAAAAGTCTCCAGAATCAGCTAAAAGACTATGAACTTCGACTGGAACAAGAAGCAAAGGTTTGTAATCACTGTATGTCTTTACCTCCAAAAGCCATTATGCTGTCTGACAAACAATGTGTGTGGAACACACAGTAAAATAGTTCCACAAAATACCTCACTGGAAAAAAGCTCAGATATATATTTGTTTATTCCTGTACGATTCAAGTTTTAAAAGATTTTGCTTAATGGTAGCCTGTATCCCTTATTTTAAATGTAGGCTTACCACAAAGCTAATGATGAGCGGCGCATGTACCTCTCAGAGATCTTACAGGTAAGAAAAAAAACTGTGTGACTTAGGAACTTTAAAAAATCATTAACCTTTTTTAATATAGCAACAGCATCTGTTAATGCCATTAGGTCAAAAACTTTTCTTACTTCATTAATCTAACAGATCCATTGGAAAAGACCTAGAAATTGAAAGATTGCTACAGTTTATTTATTTTTAAGTACTTTTTTTTTTGGCTTTTCTATCCATTGAGAGTTAGTTGTTCCCAAGGATATTCAAAGTACCCGTAGCTGAGAAAGTAGAAGCAATTTTCTGATACTTTCTTGCCCATTTATTAGCCACAAGGCTACTGTGCTAATTTAATGTTTCAGTTGAAAAGAACAGAACCATATTATTAGCAGTAGTGACACTGGCCTTAACTACCTGTTCCTCTTTTCTATATTTTTCTTTTTTCTTTTAAAGACAAGCTAGTCAGTCAGCTCAAAATGACTATGTAACACATATTTCTATTGATTGTATAAGATCAGGGATAAGATACTTTGGTTTTGTTAAATCAGAGGTTAAATTTTATTGCCTCAAATTATGTAATACATGAAAGTTGATACTTCAAACTGGAGGAACCTGTAAAGGAACCTGTAAAGATTTCTCATGCTTCTTTTTCTGAAAGAGCTTTTAATTCCTGAATAATGCAAAAGTAAAAGCTTTACAGAATTAAAGAGTTGTCAGAAGGGACCTCTAGAGATTATCTAATCCAACTCCTCTGCTAAAGCAGGATCACCTAAAGCACATTACTCAGAACCGCATCCAAGTGGGTTTTGAATGTCTCCAGAGAAGGGGACTCCACAACCTCCCTGGGCAGCCTGTTCCAATGCTTTGTCACCCTCATAGTAAAGAAGTTTTTCTCATATTTAAATCAACTTCCTATGTTCCAGCTTGTGCCCATTGCCCCTCGTCCTGTCACTGGCAACTACTGGAAAAAGTCTGACTCCATCATCCCTGCACCCACGCTTTAGATACTTAGAGGCATTAATAAGTTCTCCCCTCAGTCTTCTGTTCTCCAGGTTAAGCAGTCCCAGGTCTCTCAACCTTTCCTCATAAGGATGATGCTCCAGTCCCCCAGTCATCTTTGTTGCCCTTCACTGGACTCTCTCTAGTAGTTCCCTGTCTCTCTTGAACTGGGGAATCCAGATTTGGATGCAGTATTGCTGATGTGGCCTCACCAGGGCAGAGTAGAGGGGGACAATGACCTCCCCTGACCTACTGGGCACACACTTCCTTATGCACCCCAGGGTTCCATTGACCTTGTTGGCAATAAGGACACATCACTGGCTCATGCATGATTTATTATCTATCAGGACTCCCAGATCCTTCTCCTCAGAACTGCTTAGTGTGATACTTGGGAATGACTGTCACTGAATTGCTGTCATAGCTAACTGGGGTGAACAGCTGTAATTAGCAATGTTTCCATGTGTTTGCACAGTGGGCAACTGATTCTCTTATGTGGTTCATTGCTGCTTTGGGAAATTGCATAAAATAACTTTCAAGCTGAAACCAAGGAAGAGCCTAGGAAATGCCTATGATAACTGGCCGTATCTTTTGCATTAACAGTGAAACTGGGGACTGCTGGAGGAAGAAAGTAGGAAATAAAAGATAATTTTATTACTGAACATGCTAGCAGGACTGCCCATGTTCTAGAAGAGCACTTAAACATACATAAAACATTATTTGAAGTTTTGCCCCTATGATTTCAGAATCACATGAGAGCAAAATAAAAATTCTCAAAGTAATCTGTCTATCCTTAGTTCTCTGGATGTTAAATAGCCAGTTCTGGATGTTAAATAGCTAATAGTTCTCTGGATGTTAATAGGTAGTTGTAGAGGGATCTTCTGTAATTTGTGGCGAGAGAGAAGTATGTTTAAGATGCAAATCATCACAGCTGTTTTAGATCAAGATGAAATTAATTTCCCAGGGATGTATCTGGGCCAGAGGCTTAGGGCCATGTAATTTCTTTTGTTTCTTATTCAGGGAAGTATGTTAGGAATATGATGCTGCTTCATTGAAAATATGGAGCTATAGGCAATATGACAAAAAATATGCTGATTAAAATGACATATTCTCTGATTGTCCAGCTTAATAAATGATGGTATTTTTGCACAGCAAGGGATTTTGGCATGTGTTCAGTTCCCCAAATCAACAAGGCACCAATATATGTGCTTAAAGTACTTTAAGGCAGTAAGACTTCATTGGGTCAAAATTAGATTAGAAAAATGTCACTTTTTAGCTGTGATTATGGTTAGAATGTAACTTACTTTATAAAAATTTGGCTATTGCAGACCTCAGCTACACTTAAAATGGTTGAAAGGAAAAAAACAGATGCTGTGACAGGCAAGGGAGGAAACAAAATGCTGAGGTAAATTTCCTTCATATTCCCTCTGTTTTCTGGTTTGTTGTTTGTTGGGTTTTCTTTTTGCTCAGTACTATGTTTTCAGTATTGCAACTGTCTAAGTGGTAAATATCACTGAGTGTAATCTGACTGGCGAAGTATTAATCTTGACATCATTTTTTATATTGCTTTTCAATTAATTTTAATACTAAGTATGTTGTAGTATTGAAAAGACATGTATTTAAGTGGCTATTTAGAAATCTTATAATACGTCTGATGTCCTTCCCTTTCAATCTGTGGTTAAAACGGATTTTTTTCTATATTACTATATTACTGCGAAGTTGTGAGCAACAATTATACCTTTAATCCACTAAGAGTAATTCAATTAAATAATGCCTTGCTTGGTCTTTTTTAGGCAATAAAGATTATAAAGCTTTTTGTGGATGATAATGTGAGTGGTTTTAAATGACAACATATAAAGGCTTAATTGTTTAAAAAGATTTCTGTTTAGTTATTTGGGTTCGAAATTTAAATTTGAAAGAACTCACCTGCTCCAAGCTATATAGAAATAGAATGTGTTTCTGATTGTAGTGCTTGTGAGAAAGCTTGAAATTGGAGGAGATTTATTTTTTAACTGAACTGAAAATGTTAAGAATATAAAGTACAAAGAATATAGGGAGTCACATCTAAAGTGTGTTGGATCTAGTATCCTGCCTCCAGTGGCCATAATTAGGTGCCTACAAAAGTGTGTAAGCAGGCAGATTTGCTTTTGGAATTCTCCTAATACTTTATATTTGGAAACCTTCTGAGCTAGTATGGGTTCTATGTATTTAGTATCTCACAGTAACTGCTCTTCCATGAGTCCACATACCTGTATTATTAAAATGAGCATTCACAATACATACTGGGAACATCTGAAAATGTAATGAGTTAATTATAAGCATGAAATTGGGTAGACATATTTGCTTACCAGCTTTATCCTTCCATTCTGTGTAAGCACAGAATCACAGGATTTCAGAAATTGGAACAGTGGATCTTCATGCTCCAGAAGAGGATATTAGTAGAACATGAATTAATGGAGTAGAAGATGAATTAATGTAGTTGAATATGAATCAAAGTATTTAACTAAAGTTTCTCAATACAGAAAAAGCCTTGTATGGGATTGAGGCACCCCATATACAGCCAGTTTGTTGCTTCTGGTCCCAGTGATGTTCAAAGTAGCTCATGTGGAGAAGGTCAGGAAGCTAGAACTGGGAGAACTCACTGTCTCTGCTGGGAGATAAATATCATCAGACAGATACTGAGATGTGCTGAGGGTTAGCACTGATCTGTGATTATGCTGTGGGGTTTTTTTGTAATTTATTTTGGTAGACCATTACTTACCCAGAAATTGTATGACAGTGTATTTCTGCAATTTTCTTTATATCAAACAGAAGAAAATAAACTGTAAAAGAAAATAATGTCCTGTAATTGCTGGACTCAGAAGATGCATATTGTAACAAAGTACCCCTTTCAACCCATTTTCACTCATCAGATTTTTTTTAACTTCTTCAAGTATTTTACACTCACAGAGGGAATTGTTATCTTTTACATTTTCCTCAGTGGCAAAGGATCCAGCTTGCAAAGCACTGGATTTTATAACCAGTGACCTAGCACTTTCAGGCCAAACTTTGGTCTTAGTTGGCAACATGGAGATAAGAATGGGGATTTGGCATAGTTCATATTTTAAGGAAATACTAGAGTGTAAGTAAGTTCCCCTTGATCATCACAAGGTCAACACAGTCATTGTTATATCATTCCTATATATTTATGTTTTGATGTATAGCCTGAAGGTTGTTAATTCAAGCTGACATGAATGAGAAATAACTTCATTCAAATAAGTGAAGACCTGCGTGGCTGAATATAAATGTATTCTTGAGATTAATTTGAAAATTTTATATCCAGAATTCTTGTCTCATTTCTGTTGCATTTCAGAAAATGCTTATCTTCATTGGATTTCAAACCATATTAAGAAACTATGTTTAATGTTTGTTTTAACTATAGGTACAGGTATGTAAAACCCAACCAGTATACTAAAGCTACACTGAAACTTTTTTGAGTGGTAATTGTAAACACTAATTATTGATGAATTCAGTTTCCTGGCCATCCAAACATAGAAGCCAAGTTCAGTAGAGATCCTTTTTATAGTATTTCATAGGACCGGAAGAAGATAAGCAGGCTGACAGTTGGGAAAAACATGAATGTCATGATGACTCATGTCCCTGAGCAGCCAATTTAGTGTCATTCTGAGCCCTTACTCTTATTGTGAGGCATATAGCAGGGCTTAAATAACTCAGGTTTCAATACTGCACTGACTGCAACTGCCTGGCTTCAAAGTCCCTATGTCCAGCTGATTTTGAGTGGAAAGAGATTTTGCTTCCTGCAGTTCCACCCAGACATACACTGCTTTGTCCAGCTCTACAATGATCTACAGATTAATCAACTGATTTTGAGTAATCAGTTGATTTGAATTTGAATAATCAAGTGAATATTGAACAAACTGGGCCTTTGGGTTCTGATCTTCCAACCTCTGAATAGAAGCAGCTTCATATCTCTATGGGGGCAGCTGTCCCTTCAAGACCATGACTGCTCTTAAAAGCTGGAGCAAAGGATGTGTCAATCTCAAGGAGACTAGTGAGCCCTAGGGACAACTTTGTTGGCTGTTTGCCCAGAAATTTGAAACTTGCAAAGATCACATCATCACAGCTTCTGTGGCATAACAAAGTGTTTCTCTGGCTACCATCTTGAGTATCATTATGTGATGACGTGATACATTTTCCTTCAGAATGCCTATTACTTGGGAAAGGCATTGAAACCCTGTACATTGTTGTTAGGGCATGTAGGGTGCTCTCTGGCCACTGTAGTAATGATCAGGGAGAGAAACAAATGTACATTGCATAGCAGTAGAGATACATGCTGCTTGTTCATGAGAATGACCCATCCAGTTTGTGGAATCAGCATTCTCCCCCTGAACATTTGTTGACATTCCCACTGATTTCTCTTAGAACATCAAGATGAAAACAGGTCTAGTAGGGCTCATGTAGGTGATGTATGTATGTATGATGAATACCACTTCAGAAGTCTGCTTGCAGCAGAAGATCATGGGCTCAGCAGTGGGAACACCTGCAGAAAACTGGGACTGCATCTACATGAAGTGTTTTTCCATTTCCTAATATGGATTCTGTAACTGCTGAAGATGTCTCCTTAGCCAGTTATCTTTCTCTGTGTGCAAATGTTTAGTATGCAGTTCATGTTCTTCAATGCCATCATTTAAGTAGCAGGAAGTAGTCAAGAATCATGAGATGAGGATTGAGCTTTTATGCAAAATAATTCAATGCTCTGATAGCCTGCAAATCCAAAAATATACTTGTTTTTTTCCTCTCTCAGGTTTATTATTTCACAATAGTAATCAGTTATGCAAATATAAAAAGCATGCAAATTTCTAGTAGCTGAAGCTTACAGGGGATGTGACACTTGATTACTGACTTCAGCCATTTTATTTCAGAAGGAGATACAGTGTTCCAGGAAACCCGAAGATGGTCAGTCCTCAAAAAGGATCAATTAAGAAGACTGTAGGAGTGAAGCAGCTCCCAAAAATAAAACACTGATTTAATATGAATTCCAAGAACTTCCAATCACTTAAAAAAATTGATTTAACTGAAATTTCTAAATTGAAAATGAATGTATTTGTGCCTTATTATAATACCAAACCCAGACTGGCATGTCTTCTTGGCTACCTTAACCTAAGTGTTCCTCTGCCTAACGGAATCATTCTTCTAGTTGCCATCTCTGTTCTGGTGATCTCTGACCCTTTCCATTCTGGTTCTCATCAGCAGTTCTGTGTCAGGGAGTTGGAAGCCTTGGGTAGCATTTAATAGCTTTATACAATGGGCAGATCCTTGAACTCTTTGCACAGCAATCACTGAAAACAAATAAGCCTCTTAACATTTTTGACTTCTCAACCAAGAAGAAGAAAAAGGCAGAGTGATGTAACCTGGCATGTTGCTATTTGAAATTTGAACTCTCAGGTGAACCTTTGTTATCTATAGGCAAGTTCCATAAAATACCTGTGTATTCTTCTGTGGCAGTGATCCATGTATTGTTAGGGTCCATAATAGTGCCAGTCTTCACTATCATCTCTTCAATGAAAGTAGACCTACTTTGTGTTTTCCTTCTTAAGTATGTAATTATTGTTGCAGTATAATGACTTACATTTTAGTCATTAAACCAGCAGAATTTTTTTAAGTGGCAACAGGAAAAATGTTTTGGTAATGAAGCTTCAAGCCTCTGGGTTACATCTTAAAAGCACTTCACAGAGAAAATGTTGTTGATTGACTGCCCTTTGTTATTTTTAAGAGCATCCCTAGTTCTTTGCAGTATCTAATAAAGCTTTTTGCTTCCTTAAGAGCAGTACTATTAGGTCCTTATTACTGGCAGCATTAAAGTGAGGTTGTATTTAAACTCATACAAAAAGATCAATGATGTAATTCTAAAATGCAGAGAAAGAAGACCTGCAGTGTTGTAAAGCAATATTCCATTGGAAACCTCATGTTGTTCTCTCGCATAATATGAAATTTATTACATGCATTTCTAACGTGACCATGATGCCCCTGGTATGATTCTTTCATAAGCAGAGTGGTCTGTCTGGCCAGTTTTCTCCTTGCAGTTACAGCTGAAAGCACAGCACAGCTGATTAGGTTAGCACTCCTCTGTTCCTGTTTCTCACATGGAAAGTTTCCAAATTTTAGCTATGCTGGCATTTGTTACTGTGGAGAAGGAGAGGGAAGGAAATCACCATAATGGTCCTGTTGGCATAAAAGACATCTGCAGCAGTGAAGAATTTTCAGTTCTTGGATTCGTGGAGCAGACATTTACTACTGCTGTCTCTAAATCAAAAGCAATGTACTCAAGCCTGGCTCTTGTAGCACCTCAAAGTTACTTGAGACATTGAACAAATGTGGCAGAATGGCATTTATTCACAGCAGGAGACTTGTATGCTTCCCTCGTGAGTAGTCCTCACTGGGGACTTTGGTTTTTTGCTTGTTTTTGAATCCCAAGAAGATCCATTTATTGGTACAGTTTGGTACAGTAATGGCTTGAGGAGAGGAGCAGACTATGTCCTTCTTAGTCCCTGTTGCAACTTGGCAGGAGCAAGCTCAGGATTTGAAACTTAGTATGGGAATGAAGTCCTAAAAATGTGTTTGTTCTAATTGTGTGTCCAGCTGTAATGTTCACTGTGCAAAATGTTTTGAGTTCTGGACTCTTACTCTTTAGATTATTTGGCATTTCTGTTTCCCCCACCTTTCTGAAATAAGGACACCCCGATGATTAAGTTTGATGACTCAAGTTTCTTTGCAACAGCAAAAAGATAATTTCTGGTTTCATAAATGTTGTGGTGTTTCTTTGGGCATAATAAAACTTACACTCCTAGCTTTTGCAAACCATGTTGGAATTTTTTGTTTGGTGTTTTTTGATGGATGAGTGTTTTGAAAATCCTGGATGTATCTTGCATGGGCATTTCTCACTGCTGTTATGCTGTGCTGGGAAATGGGGTTTGTGTACATTTGCAGCAATGAACAGTTACATATACAGTTATAATATCTTCTATATGGATATTTCAGTGCATTTAGGAGTAGTTCATCTGTCAAAGCCCAGTATGTATTATCATTCTCATTTTAGGCACAAAAGGCTGAATCACAGGTTTATTGCACGTAGAGATGGGAGTGTAGTGGTGTCTGGTTTCTCCCTGATGTTGCGACAGGGTGGTCTTTTGTAATATTGTGAAGTGTTACAAGGTAAGTTCTGTCTCCTCTGAAGTCTCTGTGCATCATATTGTAAATGGTGGGCAAATCTGAAGACAAAAATGGGAAACTGAATAGCTGATGGTTGTGGTCAGTGACTGAATGGAGCTGAATGTCAGAGGAAGAGAGGATTAGAGCTGAAGGTTTGAATTTGTCCAAACTTCTTCTGCAGCGCAGAATGTAATTGGGATACCAGGTGTACTGGTTGCAGTGTGTAAGTGTCTTTAATTGATGGACTGAGAAATTTAATATCCTAACTCTTGGGACTTCAGAGTATGCGTCCCTTACATGGTTACTCATGGAACTCCGCTGATTTGAGATGAGTCATGATTTTGAGGTAACTATGGCATTTCAAGTATTTACCCATCTTGGTGCTGGAAAATACAACTTAAGAAACTCAAATACTGGTAAGCAAACATTTCTTATTTCCCAAATTCCCTTTCTTTTTTTTTTAAGTCTTACCATTTAAGAGGGTATTTAGTAATTATTCCTCTTTTTAATGTATCAGTAGAGCACAAGTGTATTCCTCTGACAGAATACAATGAAAATGTTTACTGGATAAGCATTGACTGTTGTGGTTGATTATTATGTAATAATGCAGTATAATCACAGACTCCAGATAACTCATATCCGGGTTATTATGAACAATAAGCCAATATTTCATTGCTCAAATACTTTTTTAAGGGGTTCTCCATGTAAATAACTGACTAGATGGTGTGGTTCACTGCTTCCCTGATTCCTGTGGTATTCCATCTCTAGTGGTAAAGATGAGATGTGTAATTTAGGCTTAATACATTTCCAGTAGCAGAAGATGCTGTACAGGCATTTTAAGAAATGTGATGCAGATACGCAAATAAATAAATAAATAAATGAACTTCTGTGTTATTGATCTTCTGCTGTTGCTGCCAGATTGGTGTCAAACAGAAACAGTAATTTGAACTGACTCTGGCTGCAAACAGAGGTAAAGTGCATGGATTAAAATCACACCTAATTGCAACAGTTCAACATCTTTATATACAAGTGTCACACTAATGGTAGACATTTCTACACCAGATAATGAGGCTTTTCAATGGTGCCACTATGTTCTTTAACTTGACAGATCAGTTTAACCCTCTTTTCCAAAGATACAATGTCAGTAATTCCTTGCAGGTTATATTTGGAATCCAGTTCTCCTGAACTTTATTGATCTGTCTCATGAACTATTGACTAAGTCCAAATTAGAGCCCAAATTAGTGTAGCACATCTACAGGAGCAGCATGCAGATGGGACCAGGCTTTCCCTATGGTTCTGTGTGCAAACAGATCCACCACTCCACAAAAAGGGCTTACCCAGGCTGTGTTGTCCTCTTATTAAGAGCTACCATCCATTCTGGGCTCTGCCTGTCACACACATGACTTCCACCACAGTCCTGTCCTCCATGTGACGTGCTTTGTGGAGCTGGCAGCATCCTCTTAAAAAGTCTTCTTTAAAAGTCCTATTAAAAAAGGACAATCGAGGTATCTTTTGATTTCCTTCAAGAGAAAACTTGTGGAGTCCTGACAGACTTTTTAAGAAGATGGTGCCAGCTCCACAGAGCATATCACAGAACAGGTACACTAGCTGGCTTAGCTGTGTCCTTTCCATAACTCTATAGAAATTTCCCATGGTGCTTGTAACCCTCTTTTACCAAGGCAATTTATTTGACAAAGGCTGTCCCCAGTTGAACTTCCTTTGCCTGTAATAACTAGAGAGAAAACGGGGATGAGAACACAGTACTGACTTGTTGCAGGTGCTTCAGTGCACCTAGCTGGGAGAGGCTTATCAGCTGCAGGTGCTCGTGCCCAGGAGTACCTGGGCTTGCAGGTGTGGGCAATGCAGCTTCTTCAGATTTTGCAGCTAAGAGTGCTCTGTTGCCATGGCCTGGCTCATGTTTGAGAATCACCACTACTCCATCAGGATTCCATATCAAGGACTTCCTTGGTGCTGCCCCCTGAGGTAAGCAGCACAGCTTCATTTCCAAGCTGGTAAAATTCCTATGCTCTGGTTCTCATGTAACTTCCTCACTTCTCCCGTTGTTTCCTGAGAGAAGATGAACACCACCTCAGGAACCCATCTGTAAAGTGGGGAGAATAGTGTGTTTCTGGTGCTGAAAAGTGATAACGAAGATAAGTACACCAGCACTGGAGAGAAGCCAGCTGGTAAAAACACAATGAGCCTAAGTAAGCCTGACCTAAATCAAGCAGCTTTTCTTTTGTCATGCCATAAAAATGGGTCATTTTGGTGCAATATTGGTACAGAAGCCTAAGAGTTGTGGCTGCTGCATCTTACTGAAAAGAATTACCAGGAAAGATTCATGTTGGGGTATTTCCCAATGAGCACAGCCCAGCAGTGTCACCAGTTGCTGTGCAAATCTTGCCAAAGGAAAAATGTCTGCCATGGAAAGAGACAGGCCCCTTGTGAGGTGTGGCTGAGGACACGCCTTGCTCCCCCACCACTCGGTACAACAGGCGCTTCCTCCTGCAGCTGTCTGATCCCTCCTCACAGACAGCAAGTGTCTTGTGGGGAATCTGCTGAGGAATGATGTGGTGTAATGGAGCAATGCAGTCTGGGGGGCAGAGGAGTCATGCACAGCTGAAAGGTTATTTTTGGGGAAGGATGAAGCAACAAGGGTGTGCCCCCTTGAGTCGTCCTGAGCTGATTAGGAATAGGATACTGAGACATCTTAAAAAAAGAGCAGAAGAGGAAAAGAAGGAAATACAAGCATGGAAATAATCTGTCCCAGCTTGTAGCTTGAAACTCATACATCTAAGTCTCAGCTAATCACCGTA